TAGATAGATAGATAGATAGATAGATAGATAGATAGATAGATAGATAGATAGATAGATAGTAGATAGATAGATAGTAGATAGATAGATGATAGATAGATAGATGATAGATAGATAGATGATAGATAGATAGATGATAGATAGATATATAGATAGATAGACAGACGTAGGTATGTATATGTATGGTATGAACTCCTGGTGTGATGCTGTAGGGCTGAGAACCACAAGGTCAACAGTTCAAACCCACAAGTCGTTCCACGGTTACCCTATACAGGGTCGCTATGAATTGGAGCCGATTCAATGGCACTTAACAACAAAAATATATATAGGGTTTGGTGAGAGGGAGGGAACGATGGCGCCTGCGCTTTAAAAGGAGAAACTGGTTTGAGGGACGGTGAGAGCCAGCTGCGCTAAGCTGAGGCCTAAAAACGGATCCCGCAAGGCTGAGAGGCGTTGGTTCCAGGCCAGCCTCCCGGGTCCCTGAGACTTGGTCACGGCTGCTGGGACCAGGCCTACCTCCCTCCGGCACAGAGCTGGCAGGGTGCTCCTAGTCCCTGCGCCCTCTCCAGCCACCACCCACCCCACCCACCCCCGCAACCACTCAAGACCTTTGTCTCTCTCCTCCCTTGGCCCGCGTCCGCGCAGTAATAAGGGCTGGGGATTGCAATCTGTCCTCGCCCCGTTCTATGATACTCAGTGATGCGCTACAGAAAATGACTCCGGCAGCCCCGTCCTACGATCTCCACCCGCCTCAACCCCTGCACCCTCCGCAACCCTCTGTCTGTCCCTTGCCCCTTTTCTCCGCGGTTTCCTTCAGGGCCTCTGAGGGCCGCCAGCCTCGTGGCCTACCAGGTCCCCTTGCCCCGCATCCTCCCAGCTCCCCGTGTCCCCCAGCCTCCATGGCCCCGCGCCCCCGCGCCACCAGGTGGATGCGCGCGCGTCGAGTGGAGCGGCGCGGTGGCACACCCTAACCCTCCGGCCCCGCCCCAGAGCTCCGTGGATTGGCTCTCCGCGGGTAGGCAGGGCTGCGATTGGCTCGGACCGCGCGCCGGCCGGGGTCCCGTTTCACGGTGGGTAGCACCGCAGCGTGGATGCTGCTCGGTCCCGCCGCGGCCCGGAGGAGCGTGGAGCCGGTAGCGGCCGGGCGGGGCCGGGCCGGGCATCGCGAAGAGCCGGCGCCCGCGCCCACCCGGCCCGCAGTCGAGGGCAGCCTGGGGGTCGCGACTGCTGCCCGGGACCGCGGCGGGGGACAAAGGAGCATGCGGGGCCCGGGGCTCTGAGCGCCCGGGCGGCCGAGGGATGTGGCGCGGGGCGGCCAGAGACGGGAGTCTGGGGCCGCAGCGGCGCTGCTGAATGCGGCGGAGCGGGCCGGCGGCCGAGATGCCGTGGTTCCCGGTGAAGAAGATCCGCAAGCAACTCAAACTGCTGCTGCTGCTGGTGTTACTCACCTGCGCCGCGTGGCTCACCTATGTGCACCTGAGTCTGGTGCGCCAGGGCCGCGCGCTGCGTCAGCGGCTGGGCTACGGGAGAGGTACGGGAGGACGTGCGCGCCCGCGAGCGGGCGGGCGGGCGGCCGGGGCCGAGGGTTAGCACGGTGCCTGCCCTTCCAGAGATAGGCGATATTGGGGGAAGAGGCGCGGTTCGTCCCTACTTGGACGCCGATGACGTCAGCAATGACGTGTGCTACCCTCTTGGGGCGCGTTCCCCAACTCTGGCAGACTTTGGGACCGCACCTGGAGCCGGTAGTGATGGCGTTAACTGTGGGCTTTTGGCCACCAGCTCCTGCCAACGTTGCACGGGCAGCTTCCCAGGGGCCAGTCCAACTATGAGTCCACCATTTGTCTCTTTAGCCTGGCCTCAGTTTCCCTATCTGCTCATGGTTTCAGCACACCTCACCCCTACCTCTGGCCCCAGGAGGTTGTGGTGGGGAGCTGACCAGCTCAGTTAGGAACATTTCCTGCAGGCGTCCCAGGTGCGGGAAGGGGGGCAAGTCTGGAGAACCCTGAGATGCTAAGTAAAATTCTCCCTGACAGCTGGCTCCCCTACTCAGACTCCAGTGAGGACAGATGGCAGCAGGAACCACAAACAAGTTGGGAGCTGGGGAAAGCTGTGAGGAGTCAGGGGCAGGATCAGGGAGGTAGCACCTTAGGTGGCATCTAGGGGAATTGCTTCTAGATAAGAGGACAGCAGGGATTGAAGGCCTGCAAGGGATGGGGGATTTAAGGGAAACACCTGAATCTTGGAGTAGAACCTCCCACCAGGGCAGGACTGCCCCGACACCTGATGGGGGGCGGGGGGGACACAAAGGGGTCAGAACATCTTGGGCCAGTCCCTGTTTGGTCCCATCCCGCCCACCCCCAGGCCATGCCTCAACCCCACATAGTCCCTAAAAGAAGATAGACACATAGGGCGGGCCCCACTAACAGAACAAACCCACTGACAGCCTCCCCCAGTGTGACTTTCTGAGTGGCAAGGAATCTGAGCCCCTTCAGTAGGGAGTAGGGTACAGAAACCCCCACTTCTGGGGTCCCTCTGCTCCCATCCAGCTGGGCCAGGAGGGGAAACCAGTAAGCCTGTTGGCTGCCCTGGTGGAAGTTGCAAACTTCAGGACGGCCACTCCCAAGAGCGGCCTTAGCCACAGTAGGACCCAGAAAGTGAGGCTCACACGGCTCCTGATTGTCACTGCTGTCTTCAGGTCCACCCAGGAGGCAGGGAGGTTGTCTTGAGAAATGACATGGGAGTAGGTCTGAGGGTGAAGGGCTTCCTCCTTGGGATCAGCAGTCTGGTGCATGTTGGCGGACATAGATGTCCATGGACACAGATGTCCTGTGTCTATGAAGGGAGCCAGCTGCAGAAGGCTTCCAACACCACAGAGGCCCTGGGCTTTTGGTTGGGAACTTCTTATGGTCTCAGTCCCCTAAGATGGGCAGAGGGGTCTGACTGGTAGAGACCATGATACAGAGAGAGGGTGGACACTGCAGAAAGGCCACTGAGAAGGGTTCTAGGGCCTGAGATCTGGGCTGGGCACAGGAAAGATAGGTCTGGATGGTGGACCCTGGATTTGGCCCAGGGTGGCCAGGGGCGGGGGCTCCTCAATTGGGCATCTCTTATGTGGGAGGACCAGGAGAAGACAGCAGAGGTGAAGTAAAGCCTTCTGAGGCTTCATTGCTAGGGGTGTGGAACCATTCAAGGAGAGAGTTGGGGAGTAGGCTGACCTGGGACGTTCCCCTCATGGGACAGTCTTCCCTGAGTGGTTACTGTAGCCGGAGTCCTCCAGCAGCAGACAGCACGCTCCCCTCCTGTTCAGGCTGATGAGCAGGTGTGTGCTATCTGACATGTTTCATAAATGAGGCTAGGAGAAACCAGCGAGAGCTCGGATGGGGCTCAGACCCTGTGGTTGCCAACAGAGCTGGCATTAGCCCTCAAGTATCAGAACTTGACCAGGAAAGTGTTTAGGACAGAGAGGAGGAGCTGCTCAGAGTCGTCCTGGAGGGGTGGCCACATGGCTGTGCGTGTAACTCCTCACACCAGCTAGCTGGGATTGTGGGGAGGGTACTTGCCCCCGCTGAGGGGTACGAAGTGGATGATGGTGGAGAGGCCGCACAGGAGGCCCCTCCCTAGCCATGTGGTATTGGAGGACACAGCAGGGTGGGCACCTTGGAGAAAGCCTGGGCCCCACCGTGCCCCTCATGCACCCCGCAGACAGTGAGAAGCTAGCCGGGGTGACTGACAACCGAGGCGTCCGGGCTGCACCATTCACACAAAGGATGGAGGATTCCAGCGAGAGCCCTGAGGAGGGACAGGCGGTGAGCAGCTGGCCGTGTGCCTTCAAGGAAGAACACGGTCACTGGCTACTTGTGTGTACTGTGGGTGGCGTGTGTGAAAAGTACATCCCCTAGGGAGGGAACCCGTCTTGTTCATACCTAGTGCGTCCCAAACACGGACAGACATCCCAGGCTGACAGCCTCTGCATGGGCTTGCATGTGTGTGGAAGGGCTGCAGCGGGTCCCGGGTGTCTGTGTGCCAAGTGGCTGGTGTCTGCCTGTGGGACAAAGGTGTCTCTGAGTGCGTGGCAAGGTCGTGATGGGTTACACAGCTACACGTGTGAAGGGAAGTCTTTGGGAAGAGTGTGTTTTGGGGTGTAAGGTGTGTATGGTGTGTGTGTACCTGTCTGTGTGACTCCCTGCCCTGTTCCACATGTAGCAGTGGGGAGGGTATGGGGCCCTTTCTTGCCCAGTGTCCAAGCGCAAGTGTGTGTATGTGTGTGTGCGCCTGGTATTTGTGCTGTCCTCACAGCTCTCCTACCTGGTACCTGCCCTTCCTACAGGTGGAAGGTCAGGACCCACACATGCTCTTTTCTGGGGGGGCTGGGAGGCCTCCCCCACTGAACCTCACTCGTCAGACCCCCCCATGGCAGGAGGAGGTGAGGTCTGCTCAGCCTGGGGTAGGGCGGGATTGGGGAGCAGGGTTTGTGCCAAAGGTAAGGAGTGTCTTCCCCAGTACAAGGGAAAGGCCAACCTGCATGTGTTCGAAGACTGGTGTGGTGGAGCCGTGGGCCACCTGAGACGGAACCTGCACTTCCCACTTTTCCCCCACGTGAGTGCTGAGTGTCAGAGGTGGACAGGGTCAAGACTGACCTGGGAGAGGGGTGGACAGGGCTGCACTGTGGGCTGTGACGTCAGAGGCCGCTGACCCTTCCCTCCCCACCCCCCCCCAGACTCGCACCACCGTGAAGAAGTTGGCTGTTTCCCCCAAGTGGAAAAATTATGGACTTCGGATTTTTGGCTTCATCCACCCGGCCAGAGATGGTGCGGGGGTGGGGATGCACAGGGCTGGGGGTCCTAAGGGGCCCCAACCACCCACCCTGAGCTCCTGTCCTATGGCCTAGGAGACACCCAGTTCTCTGTGGCCTCAGACGACAACTCCGAGTTCTGGTTGAGCCCCGACGAGAGCCCGGCAGGCGCCCAGCTTGTGGCTTTTGTGGGCAAGGTACCTGCCCCCTCAGTACCCAATGTCGTGCCCACCTCATAGCTCCTCAGTGCCCACCCTGTAGCCCCCTTCAACACCCACCCCAGCACCCACTCCATAGGCCCTCTGGACTCACTCACCTTAGGACCCTCCCTGTAGCCCCAGGTGCCCCAGGGCCTCACCTTGTAGCTCTCCCTGGCTTGTGCCTCAATGCCCCCCAGTCCTCCCAGCTCATGCCCCCTACTCCACTCCCACCCTATGGCCTTCCATCCATGCCCCATCTTCTGGGGGTTGGGGGGAGCCTCAGTCACTCACCCTGAAGCCCCTACTCTATAGCCCCTCCCACGATCCACCTAGTATCCCTCCCATAGCCCACCTAGTACCCCTCCCATAGCCCCTTAGTTCTGACCCTGGGCCTCAGCACCTGCTTTGCAGCCCCCTCCATGTGCTCCCCACACCTACCCCTCAGCCCACCCTGCAGCATCCCTTTCCCTCTCCCTTGGCCCTGGAATCCTCCTTCCACACCCCACGGATCACTGTGTGTGCCCCTCCCTGCCCTCCCTGTTTCATGTGTGGCTGTGTGTAAGGTGTGAGCAGGGGTTTCATTTACCTGTTCCACTCAGCCCTCCCGCATCCCCCACAGACTGGCTCAGAGTGGACGGCACCTGGAGAATTCACCAAGTTCAGCTCCCAGGTGTCCAAGCCGAGGCGGTGAGTGATTACGGGTGGACATGCATGTGTAATCCCATGTGCATGGGTACCCATGTGTGTTTATACATGTTTATACATGTGTGCAAGAGGAGTGACTGGCTGACATATGCCTTGGACACGTTTTCACACACACCCCTGAAACCAAAGCACATATACCATCCCAGCCAAACCACCCTCCTCCCACGGGACCGGCCTGGAGAGATAGCCCCTTTTGGTGCTGTCCGTCAGAGTGGGGGCCTCAGGCAGGGTGTGGTGGGCACATCCCTGACTCCCCGTGTTCCAGGCTCATGGCTTCCCGGAGATACTACTTCGAGGTGCTGCACAAACAGGACAACCAAGGCTCGGACCACGTGGAAGTGGGTGTGAGTGCAGCCTGCCCTCCTGAGGGTCTTCTGCGACCCCAATCCCTGCCCACCCTAACTGCTGCCCTGGGCCCTCCAGCACTCCCCAGCCAAGAACACCGTCTAGCTGTCCCTCACTTCAGTATAGCCCTGTGACCTCTGAGACACAGTGCCTGCCCCTGAGGAGTTTCCGGGGGAGTTCACAGAGCAGGTGTGCTGAGGGTGGTGGTGGGGCAGGGGGTCCCACTTACAGGAGGGAGTCAGAGAGGCAACCCTAGGCATGAGCAGGTGTTCTTAAGATCTGGATGAAGAAAGCTTTAGGGGTGGGGAGTCCTGGTGTAGAGCTATAGGATAAATACTGGACTGCTAACAAAAGGTCAGAGGTTCAAACCCACCATCCGCTCTTTGGAAACCCTGTGCAACAGGGGTGGGGAACATCTGGCTCTTGGGCCATATAAGGCCCACAAAATCATTTGGTTTGGCCCTGCCAAGGGGACCAGAGTTCCAGCCATCACATTGTTGATGTTGTTAAGTGCTGTTGAGTTGATTCCAACCCATAGCGACCCTGTATAGGGTTTCCGAGGAGCAGCTGGTGAACTTGAACTGCCAACACATTGTTGTTGTTATGTGCCGTGGAGTCGGTTCCGACTCATAGCGACCCTGTATAGGGTTTCCGAGGCTGTAAATCTTTACAGGAGCAGAAAGCCTCGTCATTCTCCCGCAGAACAGCTGGTAGTTTCAATCTGCTGACCTTGCAGCTCGCAGCCCGATTTGTAACCACTACGTAAATGTTTGACCAAGTTTAGCAGACTAAGTTTTAAGTTGATAATTTTGTATGGCCTACAAATGATGCTAGAAATTTTGACAGAAAAAGTTTCCCCAACCCTGTTGTACAGGGTCACTATGAGTCACAACTGACTTATGGCAGTTAACAACAGTTTCGTGAAGAAAGATTTTGACATGGGTATAACATCCTGAAAGGAGCTCTGGTAGCGTAGTGGTTACGAATCGGGCTATGAACCCCAAGGTCAGCAGTTCAAAACTACCAGCTGCTCCGCAAAAGAAAGATGAGGCTTTCTGCTCCTGTAAAGATTTACAGCCTCGGAAACCCTGTTCAGGGTCACTATGGGTCGGAACCGACTCACGGCACTTAACAACAACATAGCATCCTGATGTGTAGGGTAAGCACTAGACTGCTAACCCCAAGATTGGCATTTCAAACTCGCCAGTCACTCCTCGGAAACCCTCTACAGGGTCACTATGAGTGAAAATGGACTGACCAGCACTTAACAACAACAGCATTGCAGCATGTAAGTTCAGCCATAGGGACCAGCTGGGGAATGAGTCTATTGGGTGTCTTCTGGAATTCTGAGTGAGGGTCCAGATGGCTAGATCACTGGGGGCCTCAAACCCACCCTAGACAGCTCGGGCTGTGTCCTGAGGGCAGGAAGTGACCAGAGGTTCATTTCAAGGGAGACACTGGCCACTGCGTGACGAGAGATGGGGGCCCAGTGGGCGGGAAGTTTTTATACCTGTCCATCCACACCTGGACAAAGGAGATGGCAGTGGAGTGTGCCGAAGTGGCAGGCTGGAGGCAGCAGCCTAGATAGAGTGGGGGCACAGGGGCACTGTCCTTAAGGACAGGGTAGGGCTGGGCCACTCCGCTTCAGCTCTGTGAGCTGTTTTGTATCTTTGCTGCATGTGGAGGTCCAGGCTGGTGATGCAGGGGTGACCCTGCTGAAGCTGAGGTGTGGCTGAGGGTCTAGGATGAGAAGAAGGCTCAGACAGCCCTGAGGCACCCCAACTTGAGAGGAATGGGAAGAGGGGCAAAGCCTGCCAAGAAGCAACCTCAGAGTGGGGGGGGGGACAGGGAGAGAAGCCAGGTGGGTTGTTCTGCTATATGACAGCAGAACAGGGGGGGTGTGATGGGTGGGAGTGAGCAGCAAGCAAAGAAGGAAGCCTCGCCACCCCTCCTGGGTCTCCTGCAACTTCCAGCTGCCCCATCGCTAGCCCCGGGACCCTGCTCCAGCCACCTTCCATCTACCTGCACCCTCTAAGGGATTGCCCCTACTGCCTCCCATCCTGTCTGGAAAGACCCCCCAACCCCATCCTGGACCCAGGCAGGTTCCTGCTCCTGCTGCCCTTTCTTAGACGCTGACCACTCTCTCCGCCCCCAGTGGCGTGCTTTCCTCCCAGGTCTGAAGTTTGAGGTCATCGACTCCGCCCACATCTCCCTTTATACAGGTGCAGGTCTGGGTGCCTCTTGAGAGGGTGGGGGCGTGGGGGGACAGGTGGAGAAGAAACAGTCTTCTAAGGATGGTCTCTGGGTTTGGGTGTGGAGTGGGACACCCATCAATCCCTTTGCCCCTAGATGAGTCAGCCCTGAAAATGGACCACGTGACCCACGTACCCCAGTCTCCTGCCAGCCACGTGGGGGGGAGACGTCCGCAGGAAGAGTCCAGTGCCGACATGCTGCGTCCTGACGCCCGAGACACATTCTTCCTCAGTGAGAGAGGGCCGGTACCAGGGGCGCGGGTGGGTTCGGGGCCGGGCTGCACTGTGATCGCCCATTCCCACAGCTCCTCGGATGGAGCCCGCGCACCTGGAGAACGTGCTGGAGACGTGCACCTACGCTCCCACCTACGTCGTCAAGGACTTTCCCATCGCGAGATACCAGGGGCTGCAGTTTGTACGTACCCTTCCCCAAGACCGCCTCTCACCCTCAGTTAGACTCCCGGGGGTCCAGCCCTGAACCCTCCAGCCTGCCCTCAGGTGTACCTGCCCTTCAGGTGTACCTGTCCCTCAGGTGTACCTGTCCTTCGTGTATCCCAATGACTACACACGCCTCACACACATGGAGATGGACAACAAGTGCTTCTACCGCGAATCGCCCCTGTATCTGGAAAGGTAGGCATTGGGAGAGACTGGGGGGAGGGGTTTGGGGTGGGGTCGCTGAAGTCTAGCCGCACCCCTACCCCCAGGTTCGGATTCTATAAATACATGAAGATGGACAAGAAAGAGGGGAACCAAGAAGAGGAAGAAGTGCAACGCCGGGCCTTCCTCTTCCTCAACCCCGATGGTAAGAGCCCCTCAGCTCCTAGCCCCTCGCCCCTGCATGGGCATAGTGGGATAAACGCGCCCGTGCTCCCTGCAGACTTCCTGGAGGAGGAGGACGAGGGCGAGTTGGAACCCTCAGAAGCAGCCAGGCCACAGAGCCGACGCCCCTCCCCAGCCCCTCCCACCACCACCAAGGCCACCCCCTGGCCCCCAACACCTCCCAATCCCCTGGACACCAGGACCTCCCGGCGCTCCAGGGTGCTGAGCTGGGCCGCCCGGGCGCCGCCGCGGCCACTCTTACTGGGCCGTGCTCCCAGACCCCGCACAGAGGCCCGGCCACCGCCCCCCAAGGTCTACGTGACGCGGGTACGGCCAAGAAAGCAAACGCCACCCCAAGCTCCCCGGGCCCCAATGCCACTCGGACCCCGTGGCCGCCCCTGGGCCCCCTTCCCAGGCGTCTTCCTCCGCCCCAGGCCTTTGCCCAGGGTGCAGTTGCGGGCGCCCCCACAGCCGCCCTGCCCGGGCCGCAGGACCGCTGTCCCCCTAGCCCGGCCTCAGACCACCCAGGGGGGCCAGGTGCACACGCCAGCACTCGCAGTGCCCACAGCAGACTCGAACTGGTCTGAGGCTCGATCCGTCACCTCCTTCCTGAGCTTGTCCCAGGTGTCCAGACCCCAGCTGCCTGGGGAGGGCCAGGAGGAGGAGGAAGAAGATGGAGACGAAGATGGGGCCCCAGGCGACGATGAGGCCACCTCGGAGGACAGTGAGGAGGCAGCTAGCCCCGCGGAGGGTCACGGTCACTGGCAGGAGGACGCCATTGACTGGCAGCGCACGTTCAGCGTGGCTGCTGTGGACTTCGAGCTACTGCGTTCCGACTGGAATGACCTGCACTGTAACGTATCAGGGAACCTGCAGCTGGCCGAGGCCGAGGCTGTGGACGTGGTGGCTCAATACATGGAGCGGCTCAATGCTCGTCACGGCGGGTACGGGGACCCTGCCCGGGGAGCCTCAGGCCTTCCGCAGGGCTCACAGGGTGCGGGTCCTCCCAGTCAGGAGCCTCCCATCCACACCTGGACCTCCACACCCCCAGCTGCATGCATGGATCTGGGCCCTCCCAGCACAGCTGCCACTGGGTCCAAGCCTGATTTTGAGGGGGATGTCCAGGTCTGATTTGGGTGGGTGCTCAGGGCTCGTCTCATTTTCCCTAGACCCCAGGAGTTCACTCTTGTCTCCAGCTTTCCCTCGGAAGAGGCAGGATCTTTGCAGGGCTGAGCTTTGAGGGGGAGAGAAGCTGAGCAGACAGGAGAGGAGACGGCAAAGACATGAGGAAGGGAGCAGGGAGGTGGGGGGGGCGTGGTGGAAGGAGGGAAGGAGACAGGCCAGCCCTGGGCCTGGAGGCCACTCTCGGGGCCTCAGTTTTCTTGTGGACAATGGGGATTTTCTTATGGACATTGGGGTTGTTGAGGACAATGAGGGCTTTCTTGTAGATAATTGGGAGAGATTCTTGTGGGTAATAAGGGTTTTGAGCAGACCAGGGATTTGACCCCTTTGTAGGCAGCCTTGGAGACCCTAGTCCAGAACAGTTATGAAGGCTCAATCCCTCATGGTGCCGAGGTGCTTTGGTTCCAGGTAACTGAAGGACAGCCTGCCCTTGGCTCTAAGCATCCTGAGTAAGGCTTAGTGTCCCATTGGTGTAAGGGGGTCTGTCCAGTGAGAGTGGTCATGGTTAGAGCCACCTTCTCTCACTTGAGGGTATGGGAGGCCCCAAGGAGGGAGCCGTGTAGAGAGATCCAGAATATTTGGGGCAGTGTGGGGCTGGGCAGGGTTGGAGGGAAGAGCCTGGGCCCTTTCACAGAAGTGGACTCTAGGGTGAAAGGCCCTGAGTCAATCCACAAAGCGACCTTGGTCAGGGCAGGGCCCATCCTCCACCACCCCCTTGAGGGGAGAGGCCATAGAGGAGCAGGTCCCTCAAAGAAGCCATCAGGTCAGGGTGGGAGTTGGACAGCCACTGAGCCTGAGGCAACCTTCTTGGAAGGAATCCCAGGAGCTGGGCCATGAGGTGGAGGGACTTGGGGGGGAGGGGGGGAGTTGGTCCCTGTGTCCCACAGCAGGGAACCCCATGGACAGACCCTGGCAGTGCCCTGAAATGAGGGCATTGGGAGGATTTCAAGTTAAAAACCCCTCGCAGAGATTCTGGAGTACCACATGAAGAGACTGAAGCTTTGTCCTGTGGGCAGTCCCTGAGAGTTGTTGAGCAAGGGGGGAACTTGACGAGAAGAGACCTGGGCTAGGACGCAGCCAACAGGGCTCCCAGAAGAGGCCCCGTTCAGCCTCCCAGTGGCTCCGCCTGCCAGCGTGGGGGAGGAGGGAGGACGTAGGCGCCCTACCTATCTGTGGAGGCCACAGCCTCCTTTCTTGACTGTCAGTACCTGTAGGTGGAGGAGGGCCAATGTGCCCACCTCCAGTGACCCAACCCCGCCTTGTAGGCGCTTCGCGCTTCTGCGTATCGTGAACGTGGAGAAGCGCCGAGATTCAGCGCGCGGTAGCCGCTTCCTGCTGGAATTGGAGCTGCAGGAGCGCGGGGGCGGCCGCCTGCGTCTATCCGAGTACGTCTTCCTGCGGTTGCCGGGGACCCATGCGGGAGACGGGGATGAGGACCCAGGGAGCCCCGCGCCCGCTCCCGCCACCTCTCCGCGCCCTGACGGCCGCCCGGAACTCTGCCGGCCACTGCGCCTGGCCTGGCGCCAGGATGTGATGGTGCACTTCATCGTGCCAGGTGTGGAGGGACCGGTCCCCAGGAGTGGGGGTGGCGTCCTTGGGGGAAGAAGAAGGGGGAGGGGTGATGCCGTTGGACCAGCACCCTAAACACCAAGGAAAGGGGTGACGCTGAAGGGACCCGGAGCTGGCGGATGTAGCCTGCCTCACAGACCCTCCTCCCCCAGTGAAGAACCAGGCACGTTGGGTAGTGCAGTTTCTGATGGACATGGCCACGCTACACACCCGCACCAAGGACTCGCGCTTTAGCATCATCTTGGTGGACTTTGAGAGCGAGGACATGAATGTGGAGCAGGCCCTGCAGGCAGCTCAGTTGCCCCGGTAATGGACCTCCCCAGGCGGCGGGGGACTGAGTGCATCCCACAAGTGTGGGAGATCAGTTCTGTTCCAGGAATCCCTACCTGTGACTTCCACCAGGTACCAGTACCTGAGGCGAACCGGAAACTTCGAGCGCTCAGCTGGGCTGCAGGCAGGAGTGGATGCTGTGGAGGTTTGTCAGCTGGATGGGTGGGCCAGGTGGGGTTCTGGGAAGAGGGTGGGGCTCAAACCTCACGCCCCTCCAGGACCCCAGCAGCATCGTCTTCCTCTGTGACCTGCATATCCACTTCCCCGCCAACATCCTGGATAGCATCCGCAAGCACTGTGTGGAAGGCAAGCTAGCCTTCGCACCTGTGGTCATGCGCCTGGGCTGTGGGAGCTCACCTAGAGACCCACACGGTAAGCAGGGCTCGCCTTTCTCAGTAGAGCCAGGGCCCTCCAGCCACCAAGGTGCAAGATCCTGTAAAGTCCAGCAACCTGTAGAGCCAGGATCCCCATAACACCCAGCACCCCCTGAATTGCTGGGGACCCCCCCCCCATAATACCAAGGAGCTCTGGCAGCATAGTGGTTACAAGTCTGGCTGCTAGCCTCAAGGTCAGCACTTAGAAAAGACCAGCTCTTCCGCAGGAGAAAGATGAGGTTTTACAATCTCAGCAGCCTTACCCGGGGTTGCTATGAATCAGAAACCGACTCCACGGCACATAACAGCAGGGTCCCCCGTAACCCCCAGCACCTCCCTGAAATTCTTGAAGCTCCCTATGACACCAGAATCCCCCATAATGCCCAGGAGCCCCTGTAATTCCAGGACCCCAGGGTAATGCCAGGTGTCTGGGACCTCCTCCAGTCATGTGTGGTTGTGACCCCAACATGGGAGGGTGACCCCCTAGGGCCCTATGGTGAGGACTGTCCGCCCGATCCTCTCCCCAGCCACTCTTGAAGCTTTTAGGGACCTTGTGGGAGGGGGCCTTGCAGGACCTGGTATCTGAAGGGCACCCCCACTCCAGGCTACTGGGAGGTGAATGGCTTTGGCCTCTTTGGCATCTACAAATCTGACTTTGAGCGCGTCGGTGGCATGAACACCGAGGAGTTCCGAGACCAGTGGGGGGGCGAGGACTGGGAGCTCCTAGACAGGTAAGAGCCTGTTCCCCCCCCCAATCTCCCCAGCCAGGAATGTGTGTCCCCTCCCCCCAGCCATGAACCTGTGTCCCCTCCCCCATCCCCCCAGCCAGGAACCTCTGCCCCTTCCCACTCCCCCAGCCAGGAACATGTGGGCCCAGAGAGGCCCTGGGACCTCAGCCTAGTTCTGCCTTGGGATTCCGTAGACTCAGCTCAGTGTCCTGAACCCCATCCCCCATCACCAGTTGAGGGTCCTCCATGCCACTGGGGTCTTGTCGGAGTGGCAGCACTGACATCCTGCCCTTGAACCGGGCTCCTGGCCACTACCATACCCTTCTCCAGGGTCTTGTAGACTCTGGGTGACCCTAACGCCCCACCCCTGACCCCCAGGGTCCTGCAGGCAGGGCTGGAGGTGGAACGGCTCCGACTGCGGAACTTTTTCCACCATTACCACTCCAAGCGGGGGATGTGGGACACACGAAACCGGAAGGGCTCCCACACAGACTGACTGAGGGACCCTCCGAGCTCCCTCCCAGTCCTGCTGCCCTGGGCACCTGGTGGGGCCCTCCCTAGGGAGGCAGCCTTCACAGCAGCCGGCCCGGGCCAAACCCCCACACTGTGCGATGATTTCTGTGAAATTTTGCTGTAGTGATACCATTGTTTTCAGGATTCCCGAGAGTTCTGTCTGTTCTGTTTTTTATTCAGAATGAAATGAAATATTTTTTTTAGTTCTGACTAGTCCCCTGTGCCTGGTTGTCTTGGGGAGGGCAGACCTTTAAAGTGTTGAAGAGGAAAGATGTCAGCTTGAGGACTAAGGGGCGCCTGACCCAAGCCACGGTATTTTCAGTAACCTCATATGCATATGAAAGCTGGACAGTGAATAAGGAAGACCATAGAAGAATTGATGCCTTTGAGTTATGGTGTTGGAGGAGAATACTGAAAGTGCCATGGGCTGCCCATAGAACCAACAGATCTGTGTTGGAAGAAGGGCAGCCACAGTGCTCCTTGAGCCCAGGATGGGTAGACTTCATCTCTCATACTTTGGACATATTGTCACTGGAGAGGGATATCATGTTTGGTAAGGTGGAGGGTCAGAGAAAAAGAGGAAGACCCCCAATGAGATGGATTGGCCAGCAATGGGCTCAAGCATGGCAACGATTGTGAAGTTGGCCCAGGACCAGGTAGTGTTTCGTTCTGTTGTGCATAGCGTCGCTATGAGTCAGTACTGACTCAATGGCACCTAACAACAGGCTGGTTCACTTTTTTGCTTTTTACTTACATACCTGTAGTTCAGAGTTAGGAGGGCCTTAGGGTGGACAGTGCCACAGAGGACCTGTCTGTTCTCAACTCCCTTCGGTGCCTTTGACATCTCCCCTGAGTCCTGGTCCTAAGTGGGAGGCCAGTGTCCTGCCTGGTGCTGGGAGCCTGGGCACGCTTCCTATTTCATCTGCAACAAATGACCACAAACTTCATGGTTTAGGGTTATTATCCTACAGTGGTAGGGGTCAGAAGTCTTCGTCCCCACCGGAGGCACCAGGGGAAAATCCACATGTCTTTTCTAGTTTCTAGAGGCTGCCTGAATTCCTTGGCTTGTGGCCCCTTCTCCATCTTTTGTTTGTTTGTTTGTTTGTTTATTTGTTGTGCTTTGCTTTTTCAACTTTTTATTGTGAACTGAGTGAAAGTTAACAGACAAGATCATCAGCTTTACATTCAACAAATTATACATTTTGTTTTATCTCAATGATCACAATCCCCTCCCTGCAACAAGTTAGCCAACTTCGTGCCTTCCTTTTTACAGTTTATGTTTCAAAAATGAACAAAGACATAGTATTTGATGTACACATACAAAACAAGACAGAGCGAGTCATTTCAGTGTTGTAAGGGCATATTCTGCCTGCAGGTACACAGCCTTATTCAGTCCCTGGGGGAGAGCCCGCAGCTGCTTGTGTCTCCATGCCGTCGCTTTCCTAGGTAAAATCTCACACTCTTCCTTCCTGATGGTCCTGGGATTGGCTGTTCCTGAAATGAAAGATTAACTACTCCCCTTTTCAGTTACTCATCTTCTTCAATTACCATTGTGAAAATCACAATCCTGCAAATAGTTACTCACAACTGAATCATAAAATCCTTTCGGCATCAGCCCCCATCTCCTTTCACCAGCTCCATCCAGTGAAGAGGAAAACTAGTCACTGGGGATTCAGCTGAAACTAAACACAGTCATGAAAGCTCATAAGCCAATGACTTTGTACCTTTATAACACCCCACCCCACCCCCACTTTGGGTGGCCTGCCTGGATTGCCTGTCCCTCGTCCAGTTTTAAAACCAACATCAGAGTATCTCCTCCCTGGCCTCTCTCACTTCTCAGACTGGCCCTTCTGCCTCCCGTAAAATCACCAAATGAATGTCAATTGCACGGTAGGAGAATGACAGATATGGCATGGACACGGAGAAGAAAAGGATGACAGAGAACACTATCAGTGACATCATGTGTCACTGAGTTGATTACAACTTACAGAGACCCTATAGGACAGGGCAGAGCTGTCCCATGGGGGTTTCCAAGGCCACAATGGTGGCACCGTGTGTTAGGCATTGGGCTGCTAAATGGAGAAGGAGGAGGCTGTCGGACAATCTCGGAAACCCTATACAGAGTCACTGAGTCAGAATCCACTTGATGGCAGTGATTTGGTTTGGTTGAATCTTTATGGTAACCGACTGCCACACTTTCCTCCCTCGGAATGGCTGGTGGGTTCAAACTGCTATCCTGTAGGTCAGCAGAGCCGAGTGTTTAACCCGGGCGTCTCATAAGTAACACAGCAGAAAACTTTTCTGAAACTAAATATGGGCCAAAATCTAAAGTTTGAAAAATGGATAAAAAACCAAAACAAATTAACCTATGTATATGGTAATAGAGACACAGGGCTTCAGAGGTAAAGCATGTGGGTGTCCACAGGTCACTGAGTCTGTCTCGCCCTCTTAATGGACAGCCCAGTGAACTCTGACTTTTCCCAGGGTGGGGGAGCCAGCGAGACGATGTTCCAGGTCTCCAGTTAGCATGAACCTAAAGTTACATCCAGCCATGATGTCGTTCAAGGAAAAAGACGAATGACATACTCAAAACACTCAAGAAATCAAAGCACATAGCATCCAGGAGCCAATCAACCCCACGGCCCCGAGTGAACCCTAACCCTAAGGACCCTATTGGATAAAAACAAAGGGTAGGAACAGTCTTGACAAGAAAGCTAGACAATACGCAGCCCACATAAATCCCCCTCTCTGGCTCACTGGGTGGGTGGGTGTATGGGAGGACTGGGTTCCCAGGCCCAGCTATGGGTACAATGGAAGTTCTGCCAAGACCTTTATCCCCCTAGCATTGGCCCCCTGGGTAAGAAATTCTTCTGTGTAACAGGCTTACTTGGGGCTTGTGGGAACTTGTTGGTCCTTGGGAGCATCCATTTCCAGTTGTAAGTGGGGGTCACCAAAGCACCATCTCCCTGATGCTGTGAACACTACAGCTGGTGAGACTCAGCTCCCAGTAAATGGTACCCGTGAATCCCAGCGCAGGCACACATTCCTCCAATGACAAGTGCTGACTGTCTGGAAGGTAACCCTTTCTCTTCTCAGCCCTTATGGGGGTAATAGCCAAGGCCTCTCTTCTCTGCTGCTTCTGCTGGGCCGATAGAAGGCAGGTAGGCGGGTGGATGGATGGATAATGGGGCCGTTCCACTCGGGCACCCATTGGGACTGTCCCTCAGCTGCCTGCTGTACCAAAGGCAGAAGCTAGAGACCCAGAGGGCACCCAGGCTCCCATCGCCCCCATGAGTCCCTGGAAGTCCAGGGTGGTGTGATAGACACAGCCCCTGGGCTGGACTTGGCGGGTGTCCAGCACCTCGGTGGCAGTTTGCCAAGCGTGGGCGCCACGTCTAACAGGTTTGCTGACAGGAAGTGTCTGAGGACGCATGGGGCTAGATAGAAGTGGCAGCAGGTTGGCACCTTCCAGGGCACCAGAGCCCATGCCATCCCCGACCCAGCTCCCAATGACAGGGTTCCCTCTGGGCTCTGCCCTCCGTGCACCTCCCTCCTCGGCCCCCTCCTCACAAAGGCTCTGGCACTATGGGGGTTTGGCCTGTGTGCCCTACCCCTCCCCCAGCTTCAATACACACCTGCCTTCCCAGTGCCCAGTATATCCCTTTACAGTGAGCACCCCTGCTGCCCCGTGTCACCAAATCCAAAAGGAGTGTCTTCCATCCTTTCCCCGGCCACTCTGAACCCACTGCCCACTGCCCCCCGTGATGACCACCCCATCTCCAGCCTGTTCCTTATCCTCATGACCTCCAGGAGACTTACAAGAGCAACTGGGGCCCTGCCTCCATTAGGGTCCCCCTTCCCATCCTCTGCACCCCATCCACAGGGAGGCTCTCCTCCCCCACAAAGCCTTCCTCTCAGGTTCCGGGGCAGAGTTCAAGCTCCGCAGTCACCTGTGTTGTCACCAGCTGCACCCCTCCCCAGTCCTGGGAGAGCACCACCCACTCACCCCCAAACCCCCAAACGGCCCAGGCCCTCAAACCTGATCCTGCACCAAGGCCTCCTTTGGAGGGTCCAATGCAGGTTCCCAGGCTGCCCTCCCACTTTGGTTTCCATGCCCCAGTGAACCCTTAGCTCCTGTCCAGACCCGCCTCCTCCAAGAAACCAGCGGTAGTCCCGAGCCGTGTTTCCTTCCTCCTCATGCCAAATCGACACCAGGCTGTCTCATGGGTCAGATGGGTCTCCCATTGCTGGTTCCAAGTGGCTGGGGAGGGCCCGTGTCCTCCACAGGTTCCTCATAGGCCTGGGGCCACACCACCCTGCCTAGTATCCCTCCCACCCCATGTCCCCTTGAAGTTTCCTGGCCCCGTCATGCCGCCGGCAGCCTCTTCAGGTCCTGGGAGACCCAGCAGGGGACTGGGGGGCAGGCCCGGGCCCAGCCAGGCACTAACGCCACACAAACCTGTCCCCCAGGATTTTTCCACACAAGACACATCTGCTAGGGAACCAGTCTGATGAGCCAGGGTGGGCGTTCCCAGCCCGCCCGCTGGTCCCCCACGGCTAGGCCCATCCCGCAGTGAGAAGTCGAGCCCGGGACGGACGCGCTGGCTGGGATGGAGCCCAGGATGCCTCAGCCGGTGGGCTCTGGGATGGGCCAAGGGCCTGGCGGGGTCCGGACCATCCAAGGGGTAGGTTTCCCAATCCCCCATGGCAGTACAGTGCTTTTCACCCCAAGCCTCCTCCTCAGTCTTCCAGGGCCTCTCTCAGCCACACTCCCACCCTGACCTTGACCTTCTCTTCCTGGCATGAATTCTGATGTCCCTCTGCACCCCTGCAGCCACTCCAGCACTGACCCCCTCCCCACCCCTGAACCTTGTCCTGTCTCTGGACCACTTAGAGATTGGGATGGATACCTTTAGGGCAATCCCATGAAACAGAACCCCCGAGAACTTCAGGGAGCCTCAGGGGGCTTGTCCGAGTCAGCCTCCCTACCTTGCTGGCCCTTGGCCATCCTCCCCCCCCCCCCCCCCAGGGGTTTGCTCCTGGACGCGGGGCCTAATCTGGAGGGACCTGGAAGGAGTCCACTGGTCTTAGCGCCCTGCAGCCCCTCCCCTCCCACCCCAGACTTGGACCCCCCAGACTTCCAGTTCCCAGATTTCCCGGATCCTCCCTGGCAGATGCCCTCCCTCCCCACCTGGAGGCCGGCACTGACATGAGACCCCTGAGTCAGCCCCCTGGGGCGGCCCCGCCTGGCCTGCCCTGCATAGCAGAGCCCTGAACCCTGACTCACGAGCTGGCAGCAGCCTCCCACCCCTGAGGCCTCGAGAAGGATCCCAGGAAGAGTGAGAGCCAGGCCCCAAGGAGGCCTCTGCAGGTCGGAGCTAGGGCCCCAGGGGGTCCAACTGGTAGATTCCCTGTTGCCAAGGCCAAGAGCAGAGTTTCCTTCATGGTCCCCTCCCCCAGCCTTGGCCATGAATACTGACCTGGACCCTTAACTCCACATAGGACCCCTGCCCAGGCCTCACCCTGCCTCATGGCTCCTTGTTGCTACCCAGAGCCCCCCAATCCCAGAGAGCAGGAACCACCAGTCCAGCTTAGGAGTGGGGCAGCTACCAGGGGTCTCACTCAAGGGGACAATGGGGAGGGACCCTGACAATGTTCCAGTCCCCCAACCCTTTCCTAGCATTCAGGATGCTGGAGCTGAGCAGCCCCCCAACCCACCTGGGCCTATCTGTCCATCCTGATCTAGTTCTTACAAGATGGACGGAAGGCCAGCCCAGACCTGAGTCTCTGGCCTGGGATGCGCTGAAAGGAGTGCTGGGACCTGGGACCAGGCAGGGCCTGTTCTTCCGCCCAAATTCCACCTTAAGCAGTAGGCAGCCGCTCCCTCCCACCTGGCCCAGGTGTCCCCGCCCCCAGCTGAGCTCAGGGCTGGGCGGGCGTCTGTCTTTGGGCCAGCTCTGGGTGCGGCCAGCAGGGAGGGGACTTCAGGGACAGGGCTGCACGGGACAAGACGTTGGAGACAGTTTGGGCTGGAGGCGGCCGCCACGGCCCAGGCCAGGTGGACCCAGGCGGCGGCCACTGCCACCATGCAGGACAGTAACTTCCTGCTGTCTGCCCTACAGCCGGAGGCCGGTGTGTGCTCCCTGGCGCTGCCCTCGGACCTGCAGCTGGACCGCCGGGGAGCTGAGGGACCAGAGGCCGAGCGGCTCCGGGCAGCCCGAGTTCAGGAGCAGGTCCGAGCCCGCCTCCTGCAGTTAGGCCAGCAGGCACGGCACAACGGGGCAGCTGAGCCCGAGGGGGCTGCCGAGGCCACCAGAGGTAGGCCAGCAGGGTGGTGGACAAGGGCAGTGGGCGCAGATGTGGGTGGTGGGTAGTGGGTGGTCCCTGGGCTGTGTGGTGCGAGAGGGCCTCTCGGGCTCTCAGGTTCTCTCCCTGACTCACGGAGGAGGCCTCGTACTGAGTCACCCGTCCCTGCCCGCCCCGCCCAGGCGTGGGGAGAAGCCATGGGTGGGGCCACACTGCCATCCCAGCCCGGACCCTACCTGCTCCCTGGCTCTGAGCAGCAACCCTCCCCAGGAAACAACATCAGGCGAAGCCCGTACATGGCAGCCAGGCCAGGCCCAGCTCCACAACACAGACTCACCCTTAGACACACATGTATGTGCAGACACATACATGTTACAGACACATGGCCACATAGACATGCACACAGGCCCAGTCACACACCCACACAGACTCACAGACTCCAGCCGCCCTCCAACATCACCCCTGGGCCTCATGGGATTGAGCAGAACAGACACGTGGGGGCGGGGGTCTGGGAAACCCTGGACAGGAGCCACCAACTGTCTGGACCCGGGGCTCCTGAGGGAATTGGAGGAGGAGGGTCCGGCTGGAGTGACCCAGATATCCTCCTCCATGAGAAGAGCAAGTACCAGCCAGACCCACTCACCAGGGCAGGAACCCCAGCTCCGTGGCTCTGTGTGTGTGTGTGTGTGTATGTGTGTGATCATGGGTGTATGGGTATGCATGTGTGCGAGCATGGGTATGCACATCTGAGTGTAAACATGGACTTGCATGTGTGTGCCTTGTAGGTGAGCATGTGTGCACTGTGTCTGTGCATACATGCATGTAATCATAGGTGTACGTGCATGTGTGGACATGGGTGTTGTTTGCACTGTGTGTGAACATGAGTGTGTGTTGTATGTATGTGCATGTGTGTGGTGTGGGCGTACAGTGTGTGTATGTGTGACAGCATGCATATGCTCATGTGTGTTCATGTCCCATGGATACCACGAGCTCAGGACAGTTATTCTAGAAATTCCATTTTCCTCTCTTGTCAGGCTACAACAGGGATTAAGGTTAGACAGTAAGACAGACCTCCCAGAATGCCAGGCCACAGCCGGCCCCTCCCAGGACTACCGCTGCCAGAGGCGGGGGCAGAGGGCCCATCAGCAAAGACTGGCCAGGGCAGCCTGGATTCCTGGGCCTCAGTCTTGCTGGAGACCAAGTAGGGTACCCAGGGGTCATGGGGTGGAGGAGGGAATGGGGAGAGTTAATTACCATCCTGGCTACCCTGACAATTAGGGGAAGGAGGATTATAATTTGAAGTTGGGGTGAGGTTCCCCAAATTGGGGGTGTGCCCCCCCAAGGCTGAGCCTCACTGGCGTCAAAGGGTTAATAGTCCCTACATAGAAGCCTCATTAACCAGGGTGGGTCTGGGGAACACACTGGGTGTGGGGGAGTCCACTCAGACCACCAGCTCAGGCAGACGTTCCAGGAGGGCCAAGAGCCCCCATTCTAGCACCCCACCCTGTGCCTCTGAGCCCCAGTCTCTCCTCCAGGGAGGTTTCTCCCACAGTACAGACCCTCCCTGGCTTGGTAAAGTGGAGGGTGGGAGAAAAAGAGGAAGACCCCCCACGAGATGAACGGCACAGTGGCAGCAGCAATGGGCTCAAGTGTAGAAACAATTGTGCAGTTGGCACAGGATCGATCGGGCAGTGTTTCATTCTGTTGTGCATCAGGTCACTGTGAGTCGGTCCCAACTCAATGGCACCTACCAGCAACATGAGATACTGACAGAGGCCCACCCCAGAGCGTGTACACACCGTATTCGCCAGATGGTCCTTCCCCTGCTCTGTCCTCAGTTTTGGCTAACACAGTTGGGTTTCATGGGATGACCTGCTTCCCAGGTCTTTCGATGCTCCATCCATCCGTCCATTCACCCATCTGCACATCCCTCTGTCTGTCTATCCACTCTGCCACCCACCATCTTCTCCCTCCCACCATCTACCCACCCAGCCACCTCTCCACTGATGCATCCATCCGTCCATCCCTCCAACTGTCTAGCTCTCTTTCCCTCCCTCCACCCACCTGATTTCCCAGCCACTCGCCCACCCAGCCCTCCAGCTCTCCCTCCCTCCATCCACCCACGCAGCCAACTAGGAGCCCCTCCTCGGCCCACCCGTCTGTTTATCCACCCACACTATGTCGGCTGACTCTGGTGTCCTCAGCCTGTGGGTGACTGTACAGGACAGGTGTGGTCCCAGCCTCGGGCTCTGCAGGTGGGAGAGGGGACTGCCCACTGGGCAGACTGGTCCAAGGAGTTGGGTGCCCTCAGTGAGTGCGAGTCACTTGCAGGCCACCCACGGCACAGATGGGGTCTGTGGCTCGGAGGAGCTCAGTGTGGACAGGAGGTCAGTGTGGGCTGGGGCAGCCACGGGCTCTCCTCTATGTGCGGGCGATGATGAGCTTGATCTGCAGCACTGAGGAAAGAAGGAGCGCTTGGCACAGAGGGGACGTCCCTGGCAGGGAGGAGGCTCAGGGCTGGGGGACACAGGTGCAGTCAGCCTGCCACTGTTCCTGTGTCCAGGCCCGTCCAGAGGACAGTACCACACCCTGCAGACAGGCTTCAGCTCCCGCTCCCAGGGCCTGAGCGCCGACAAGAACTCGGTGAGTGATGTTCATGGAGCTCCTGACCAGAGCGAGGGTGGGAGTGGGCCCATGGTCCTTTGGGGGACTGTGAAGGGCCTCTAGGAGGCTCTGGGGTGAGAGAGTGGGGACTTGCCACACACGACTGCCCTCTCCCCTGCAGACCTTCCGGCCCATCTCCAAGCCTGCTTACAGCCCTGCCTCCTGGTCCTCACGCTCTGCCGTGGACTTGAGCTCCAGCCGGAGGTTGAGCTCCGCCCACAATGGGGGCGGCACCTTTGTGGCTGCCGGATATGGGATGGCCCCACCCGCAGCACCTGTGCCCGCCCGGCCCTTGTCCTTTCACGATCGGAGCGCTCTGGGTGGCAGGGCCGACTATGACACGCTATCCCTGCGCTCGCTGCGGCTGGGACCCAGCGGCCTGGACGACCGCTACAGTGTGGTGTCGGAGCAGCTAGAACCTGCCACCGCCTCCGCCTACAGGGCCTTTGCCTATGAGCGCCAGGCCAGCTCTACTTCCAGCCGGGCAGGGGCACTGGACTGGCCAGAGGCCACAGAGCCCCCCCCAAGCCGAACCATCCGTGCCCCTGCCATGCGGACCCTGCAGCGGTTCCAAAGCAGTCATCGCAGCCGTGGCGGGGCCGGGCCAGCACCCGGGGCCATGCTGGAACCTATGGCCCGAGTGCCCTCTGTGCGCAGCCTGAGCCTGGCTGATACTGGCCATCTGCCAGACATGCCGGGACTGGACAGCTACGGGGGCCACCGCACCCTGCAGAGACTCAGCAGTGGGTGAGCTGCCAGCCAGCAGGGGAAGGGGCAATCCCGCTGTGGATCCCCCCCCCCAGGTATGGCTGACCCCTGACCCCTGACCCCTGACCTGCAGCTTTGACGACATTGACCTGCCATCAGCCGTCAAGTACCTCATGGCCTCAGACCCCAACCTGCAGGTGCTGGGAGCGGCCTACATCCAACACAGGTGCTACAGCGACGCAGCTGCCAAGAAGCAGGTGACCATCCCACAGCCCTGCTAGTGACCACCTCCTGGGCCTCACCAAGCTGACTGGGGTAACCCCCTTCGATCCAGGGCTTCCACAGTGAAGGAGGGTGCAATCTGTGCACATCGACACACACCTGTATCTGCATATCATTGTACACAATTGCATATATCTGATTATTTCTATATACATCTCCATACACCTGCGTGTATCTGGATTCTCTGTGTAAACCTACGCATTTCTATACACTGGGATGCACGTAACTGCATGTCTCCACACAACTATACACACTTGCATACATGTGCTTACACTTAGATATGTCTCCTTACATCCATGTTCACCTACCTGCACATAGCCCTCCACACCAGCATGTCTGCACACAGCTGAACACATCTGCACTTGCTGACTTGCCTATGCCCACAGGCCCGCAGCCTTCAGGCCGTACCGAGGCTGGTGAAGCTCTTCAACCATGCTAACCAGGAGGTGCAGCGCCACGCCACAGGCGCCATGCGCAACCTGATCTACGACAACGCGGACAACAAGCTGGCCCTGGTGGAGGAGAACGGCATCTTTGAGCTGCTGAGGACGCTCCGCGAACAGGATGATGAGCTACGCAAGAATGTCACAGGTGCCCCATCCCGCCTGTGCTCACCTGTCCTCACCTGTCCTCACCTGTCCCCACCTGTCCCCACCTGTCCCCACCTGTCCCTACCTGTCCTCCACACTACCTGCCTGTCCTCACCTGTCCCCA